GAAAGTAAAGTGTCAGTTTTTACAGAATATAAAAGAGTAAAATCAAAAACAAAACTTTGAAAGTGACTTTTATTTGCCTTGGTTTATAGCTCTGAAATGAAACTGAGAAATACATAAAAATTTTAGTGAGTTCACCTCATCCCTATTCCTTTTTTATTTTGAGACAGGGTCTTGCTAAGTTACCTACAGCCTTGCTAAGTTGCTGAAGCTGGCCTAGAAGATCCTCTTGCTTTTTTGGGGGGTATTAATGCTTTCTCTATTATATGAAAAGCTTTTATTATTGTGTATTCTGCCTTTTGTGCTTTATGTTTGTCTCTAAGAAATAAAAAAGCAGGGCTGGGGTTTTGGCTTAGTAGTAGAGCGCTCATCTAGCATGTGTAAGGTGCTGGGTTAGATCCTCAGCACCACATAAAAATTAAAAAAAATAAAAAAGCAAAGAACAAAGATTCCTCATTTATGAATGAGTCAAACATTAAAAACATGTTATTTACAATCATGTTATATTTCAGTGTTGCTTTGAAAAATTAGGTAACTAAGTAATTCTTAAATACATATGATCCTATCATAATCAAGTACCCATTTCTCTTTTGATAACTCCTTTGATTTTGTTTTCTAAAAGTCAGACCTAAATTTAGAGGGGAAAACTCGGAGTATCTTTTACATCTAAAATCTTTGAAATTTCCTAGATAAATTGGGTGTGGTAGTGCATGCCTATAATCCCAGTAATTTAGGAGGTTGAGGCAGGAGGCAGGATTGAAAGTTCTAGGCCAGCCTCAGCAACTTAGCAAGGCCCTGTCTCAAATAAAAAACGAAAAGGGCCAGGGATGTAGCCTTGTGGTGAAGCACCCTAAATTTAATCCCCAGTAGGGGAAAAAAGAAAAAGAATTCTTGACCAGAAAAATCACAGGTTTGTTTTCTCATAAGAAGACATGCTGGAGCGGGGCTGGAGTTGTGACTCAGCAGTACAGTGCTTGCCTCGAATGTGTGAGACCCTGGGTTCGATCCTCAGCACCACATAAAAAATAAATAAATAAGTGAAATAAAGGTATTGTGTCCAACTACAAAATAAATTAAATAAACCAACAAAAAAGATGCTGGAAATAATTAGGTTTGTTTGATGTGCTACTATTTTAAGAGCTGTCATATCTGAGAAGATATGCTCAGTCTGCCCTAGGTTAGATTCATATAGGTAAAATTGTAATAATATGAAGATTTTCAAATTGTTTGCTTTATGGAAAGTCTCTGGAGATTTGACAATGTCCTCCATGTTTTTGTCTCAGGGAAACAGTGAGCAAAACATTTATGAAATTGGGCTGGGGATTAGCTCAGTGGCAGAGCACTTTTCTAGCATGCATGAAGCTCTGCATTTGATCCCTAGCACTACAAAAACAGAAAACACACACACACACACACACACACACACACACACCGAGTTATAAAATATATCCCAATACACAGTTTTACTTATTGGCAAATTAAACAGTCATTGAGAATTCATTATCTATAGAAAGTTTGTTTTATTCTAATGTTTGTCTGAAGGCTATGATAAGCAAGTTGATAATATGTGTCTGGGACAAGACAGATTCAGTGCACTATTTAATAGGTACACTAAACTACAGACATTTCAAAGAATAGCCTCTTGGATACAGTTTCTGTATTGATAAACTTTGGATAACTTTTATTCCACAGCAGTGGACTGAATCAGGAATTCCAGAGCTCTTTTGTTTGTAAGCAGATAATTTCATGAAAATTAAACTGCTAACCCAAGATCTAACAGAACTAGAAGACATAGGACTGAATGAAGTGTAAGGAAGATTTTACTGTGTATATTTATTTGGGATATTGGTAATTAGTTTAAAACATTTTTGTGGCTGCATTGCTCTAGATTTGGAAAACAAAGAAGGCTTATATGGTCAATTAATACTCGTGTGTTCAAATCTGGCTAAACCTACTGAGATTAACCCTTTTTCGTGTTCAATAATAATATCTGAGATACTTTGATCATCTGGGTGGTGGAGACACTGTTGGGCAAAAGTAAGAGACTTTGAAATGGGCAAAAAAGATTATTGCTGTCAATTTAGGTATCCTTCTGGCATATTTCATTATCTTTGAACTATTTTATCATTTTGTAGGGTGTGAGCAACTTACAGTAATGCATATGATTCTTTAGTTTTCAAGGCAAAAATCAGTTACTATTTAAATTTAACTGAAAACTTTCAGTGTTGTATAAAGATGAAAACTGTGAAAAAGCTGTGTGGGGGCAGGATGAGAACATCTGTAGGGAAGCAATAAGCAATGGTGGAAGAGGCATTTCTTCTTGGCAGGAAAGAGGACAGAATTCTGTGGGTTCTGCAAGCAGTAGGGGCCTCTCCTTCCACTCTGCTTAGCAGGTAATTTGCTGGGGAGGTGGCCAGACTTCAGAAGAGATGGCTGAAGGAAAGAAGCTGGCTTCCCTGAGGCTCCCCACCTCCCCACCATCCTAATGCTGGTAGCATGGCCCAAAGAAGCAAAGACCTGAGATTGAAGGGCACATAAGAACACTCTGGACATTTACAGTGTAGACTAGACCAGATGTGTTTCCCTGATGCTTTCATGCTGCTTGAGCCCCTCCAGATTCTTTGGCATAATTCTTGGAGGAAGTGGGTCTCAGTTGTGGCTTAAATAAAATTTCCTGCCAGTTCTGTTGCATAGGTGATTAGAGTACAATTTAATCAAATAAATTTCTTGCATACCTAAATTTTTACACTTGATTCATGTGTGTCTTCTACATAATGCCTCTGGATCTTCCTTTATTTCCCTGTCTTTTCAGTGACTGGTTTTCAGGCTTTTCTTTCTGCTACCAAAGTACAATGAATTTCTTTTTGGGAATATAATTGGCAGGAGTTTGCTGCATGTTTTACTTCTTTCTTCCTGGTTCCTCTACCATCTCATTGTAGTTCAGAAGGTAATAAAGACAATTATAAGCTCCTAGGGCATACTTTGGCAGGCCCAGGTCCTAAAATCTCTCTCTTAGTAAATTAAAGGTGTAGCGTAAGTGTCTAACTGCACAGAATATAACATAAATAAAACCAATATACTTTATTATGTTGGCCTTATTTACTTGTAGTTTATTTGTAAGCAAATCCCTAGGATAACTGACATCTTTGTTAACAATAATGAGGAAGGTTAGGTTCACAAGTGTTCTGTCCTTTCTAAGGTTGAGCCATACTGCCAAGCCCATGTGTGCTATAAGCTTCTTGCCTCTCTAGAAGTACTAGAAAAGACAAACTTTACGTCTGTCAAATAAGTATTATCCCACAATTAAATTCATTAGAAATTAAGACAAACCCTATATGAAACAATCCCTGAAAATAACAAATTTGTCATATAAATAATCCTGGCTTCAGGATATGTTCTTGTGATACTGAGAGCAATCTTGTAGTAATGAAAATAGACAAGCTGCAAATTATTTTTTATAGTCCGAAGCAACTGGCTCTACTTGGAGCTAAAGACTTCTGGGAGACTTGGAGGAAAGACTAATCCAGCCACCTATCTGAGAATACTTACCTATGTTTAAATATTCTTACACCTGAATGTACTCTTGAACTGAGATTCTTTTTTTTCCTCTAGTTTTTGGTAGCAAGTGCTGTTCTCAAATACTCTATCATGAAAGTTTGTGAATGGAAGTTAGTAATTCCTTGTTCAGGGTATTGAATTCTGAATTTGCTTTCAAAGCCAATGCTCTCAAATTCTAACATTTGCTCTTAAAGTTCACTGTCTAAAGAGGCAGATTATAAATTTAGGCAGTTTTGTAACTACAGTGGGCAGGGACTAAGAACAAGTGTATAAATGCTAAATATATACTACATGTAAAATACAGCTTAAAATAAATCATATTCTTAAAAATATGAATCTTGTTATAATTTTCAGTTTAAGATTAATATGAGATAAAAGAAAACAATGGGAAGGAATTATAAACTGGCAAAACATTCTGTGATCTGAAATATTTTTGAGTCAAAACACAAGTTGGTTATTGTAGTAAAGAATATTTTACTTTAATAACATTCAGGCTGGGTATGGTGGTGCATGCCTTTAATCCCAGCTACTTGAGAGGCTGAGGCAGGAGGATCACATGTTTGAAGCCAGCCTGAGCAATTTAGCAAGACTCTGTCTCAAAATAAAATAAAAAAGGCTGAAAATATAGCTCAGCAAGTGTGAAGCCTGAGGTTCAATTCCCAGTATGAGGAGTGGAGACCATTATTCATGGATCCAATAATCATCACAGCTAACACATTTCATTAAGATATATAAACTTAATGACGCCAAAATATTCAAATTGGGATTTTTATAGGACTAAGCACATACCATGTACACATATACTTAGCCCCAAGAAATCATACATATTCATGTATTTATACATATATTCATTACATTATTATTAAAGAAGGGCAAAAGGAGTGTTTAGTTTTTTCTTTCTTTCACTTCTGGGAAGGTGAGCTAAAGGATCTTGTAAGGTCTGCAATAAGTATGTGGTGAGTGAGATATGTGGTTGGCTCTGGGAGATCATGTTTTAATTTAAGTGGACGTCTTGGGGTGCAGCTTATAGGTTTAGTGCATGCATAGGCCCCAGGTTCAATCTCTAGCACCTAAAAAAAAAAACTGAGTAGAAGGGAAGACATTGGAGCTTTACCTTGGGCATAAATATCATACAAAAAGGAAGTCCTAATATACTAAAGTTCATGACAACCAAACAAAAAACAGAGGTCTCCAGGGAAAAAGAAAAACAAACAAAACCAAAAAAACCAAAAAAGCATTCTGCAAGTTGCAAGATTCTCTAGGCTGTTCCTGAGGTATGCTCTCTGACCTATGTGCACTGTATTCTTTTTGTAGAGACAAGTAATTTCTGAAGGCCCATGGCTTTCATCTTTATGGGGGACTGGTTAAAAATACCAGACCACAGTTAAATGACTGTAGGCAAGAATGTTAAAGGGGATAGATCTTTATGAGCCCATTTTTCATACCTTTTCCCCCATGGATACGCCCCCCGATGTGATGATGACATCAGCACGACTGATACCCTCATTCAAGGCATTGAGTAAGTCATCTGGGCTGGAAAAAATAAAGACAAATAAATTAATAATACATATTAGATATAGTGCCAACTTAAAACTGAACCAACTTATTCACTGAGTAGGCATTACCATGAGTACAGCAATAGATTTTGCATGAAGTGAAAATTAAAAGTGTCTCTGATCAATAGAAGCATTCGTCTTATTGTGGAAAAAGGATCTTGTAAATGTTCAAGTAGTGACTACTGGTGCTTTCACAGTGCTTTTGTCTCAGCAAGGCTGTCCAATGAGGGGAGCCAGTGTGGTGTTATAGGATGTCTAACAGTTTTGGATTGTCTAGGAATATCCTAGTTTCAGTGCTAAAAGTCACATGTCTTCGCAAATCCCAGGCAAACCAGGATAGTTAGTCATGCTAGATGTTGGAAAGATCCCATAAGTCTCATTAGAGGGAGTGACTTAAGTGAGCCCCTGAGAAATGGACTGGATTTTGATAAATGGGAAGGAATAGGAAAGGGCTTTGTATGCAAGAGGATCTGCACTATCAAGAGCTGGAACAGTGATTAAATCTCTTCTGTTACCTAGGTTGATGTGGATGATGGTTTGACTAGAGTAACAGACTTGACTGGAAATGACTGGTTTAGACAGGGTAAGGTATGATTTTACAGGGCCCTCACATTCAAGATTAAGGAGTTCATCTAACAGGAAATAGAGGGGGAATCCCTAGAAATATGAAGAGCCCATAGGTATTTATTGGGAAAAGAAAAGGTAGAGAGAAAAAAAAAAAGAAAAAGGATAAGGAAGGCAGAGGCTGTAATGAACTTTTCTGAGAGGGTAAAAGTTCAGGATGAATCTTAGGGATTGATACTAAGCACATTCTTGACTGTCAGCAGAAAAGGCCAGTGTACCAGGCCCTTTGATGACATATATGAAAGGCCTGGGGAAAGAGATGAAAAAGATGAAGGTCCTCATTATTGCATGTTAGGAGGGTTGTAAAACATCCCTATCTTGGGATTCATGAAGTGAAAATAAACAAAATCAGAACTTAAGGAGGGACTGAATGGCAGAGCGCAGCTGAAAGGAACTGTTAAACTGTTAAACTACTTTAAATCCAAGTAAAGTTCTTGGGCAATGTGACCTGAACCTAGAATTTCCCTTTAACTGATGGAGTGTAGAAAAAGTGTCTTTGAGGACTACATGTTCAGTCTCTTGTTTTTCTGAGAACTTCTAAGATAGAGGAGAGGGTATTTCCCTTTATATTACTTGACTTCTTTTCCCTTCTCCTCCATAGATATCTAACATGGTCATCTGAAAAGGAAATGATACTGGCTTCTGGTTTTCTAGTTTCTGCTTTTAGTCCCTCTTGAGGCTGAGCTGTATTTTTGCTCTTGAATTCCATGAGATAACTCTCTATCCTCCCATTATCTGAAGTCCCTCTTCTGTAAAGCTAACTTCAGCAGACTGTTATTTGAAATCAAGTGATCTCTAAATGAGACAGCATATGTTTTTCCAAATTTCTCATGACTGTGAAGCTTAATGTCCCCTCACTTTAATGCACAACTTAGTAAGAGAGGAAGAAGGAAAGTCAGGGACTACAGATGGTAAGAACTATAACAAGAATATCAATTTACTTTTTTATACAGGCATGAGAGAGGGGAGAAGAGGAACCTAATATCTATCAAATACACAACCTTCATAGACTTTATGAGATAAGCTAGTTGGTAGGTGGCATAGCACAGAGATTAGTACCATGAACTCTAGAGTCAGACTGCCTGAACTTGAATTCTGGCATCACTACTTGCTAGATGTCTAACCTTGGACAAGTTGATTACCTTCTATTTGCCTCATTTTTCTCTAAGTAAAGTAGGGATAATAGAATTGTTATGAGGACTTAATAGCATAACATATAAAGCACTTAGAATAGTACCTTGAGCAAATTAAGTTTTAAAGAAAGCATAGAGGTTGCCGTTACTATTGCTGTCGAACAGATAGAAGTTGTTATGGTTTAGATATAAAGTATCCTCCAAAAGCTTAAGTGGAGACAATGCAAGAAAGTTTATAGCTGAAATAATTGCATGACAGCCTTAACCTAATAAGTACATTAATCCACTGATAGGGATTAACTGGGTGATAACTGTAGGCAGGTAAGATGTGGATGGAGAAGATGGGTCATTGGAAGAATGCCTTTGGGGTACATATTTTGTCTCTGGTGAGCAAAGCTTAGTCTCTCTGCTTACTGATTGTCATGTCCTGAGCAACTTTCCTCTTCCACATCCTTCTTCAGATGTTCTGCCTTACCTTGGGCACAGAGTACTGGAGTTGGCTATCTATGGACTGAGACCTCTGAAACTGTGAGTGCCAAATAAACTTTTCCTCCTCTAGAATTTTGTCAGGTCTTCTCGTCACACCAGCAACAAAGCTGACTAAGACAGAAGTTAAGCACATGAACATACACAACAACCTGGAAAAATACAACTTTAGCACCTGGGCAGTTTTTATTCTGGAGAATACCTATGACTAACAGAAGAAAATCTTAGATTGGGATGTAAATACATTCACAGAGTATCATGTGGAAAGTCCAAAGGGCAAGATAGGCCACATCGAGTTTGAATAGTTTCATTTACTACAGGATATGAGTAAAATTTCCTTGTCCTTTAGATTGGCATGTCCAAGGGTATACTGGGATTGTTCTGGCTCTGAGAAGTAATCTCCCAAGGAGAAGGAAGAAAAGTAAAAGTTTGAAAAATGGCTCACATAAGGTCCAGCCTACCAATAAAGGACCCTTTCGAGTCATTCAGTTAATTGTTTATGCAACCACAAAATTACCCAGCTATTCCCTGAAAGTAAAATCTATGTGTAAAATTAGAAACTTTAAAAAAATTCATGGTATAGATTTGAAATTAGCTGTTTGGGCAAATATCTAAGAAGAATCATACTGAATAATGGGTATATTGAAAGTATTTTTGAATCAAGTATTTTGAACATATTTCTCATTAATCCTTTTAATTTTGCTTTAGGGAAAAAGAAAGGCAAAATCAATATATTGTATGGAAGCACTATGTGATATACATACAATAGGTTCCTGATGCTCAGAGTTCTGGACTCCTTGCCTTTCTGGATCACATTATCATTGAATTGAGCCAAATGAATAAACAATGGAGTAAGTGGGGAAAGCACCATGTAGACTGTGGTTCCGGTGAATGGCTAATGAATATTATCAATAAAATACGATTTTCTGCCATTACACAGAAACATTAACTAATTTCATTAAACTCAAAATATATAATTTATAACATTGATTCTATTAGGATTACTGTAAAGCCAATAGAAACAAAGAAGCCATGATATGTATATCATCATGGTACTAGTAGTCTTTGTAGGTGGATAAAGTATGGTTCTTTATTAGAAATAAACAAATTTATCAGTGATTTTCAAAAATTCATTATTTTCATATTATCCAGAAAGTTTTTTCCTATTTTATAAAACTATGGAGTCAACACTGTCCACATAAATTTTCTAATTTGCAGAAATAAATTAGAAGGGATTTTGTTCACAATCTTTACTATAATATACCATGTTTCAAAGAGTATGCTCAGTGCTACTTTCTACTCTGTGGCCAGGAGATTAATAAAGTCATTGACTCTGAAGTTGGAAAGGTTATCTTGTCCATCATCACAGCTGGGCCTTTTATTTGGGTCCTGCTCTTTCTGTTCTTATTTGTCCCTCTCTCTCACTCTACTTTCTGCTACATACTCTGGTGTTTGAGGATCTGGTCAAAGATCATGGGTGCTACAGATGCAGATCTGACAACACTTAAAATGATCTATAACTTCATTTATGTTGCATACTAGATCTTCACTTATTACCTCATAATAAATCCATAAAGTAAACTGAGTATTATTATATCCATTTTATAGAAAAAGAAAGTGATATTCAGATAGGCAAAGTAGCATATTAAAATCTAGTCAAAGCAGTAAGTGGCAGAACGGCTAGAATCACAACCTCTACCTCCTCATGTTTGTTTTATTCCTTCCCTAATCAGAAGTGATTGTGCATTTTTTTCCCCAGGCATATGATATGTAATAAAAGCAAGATTCTCATGAAACTGGACCCTTATGTAAGGTACCTTTTACCACTTGTGATCCTCTTTACCACTGTGATGGCAAGCATATGAGGTCCAAAGTGCCCTACCAGCTTCTTGAACCCTTAAGGTAAACAGGACTTTCAATAAAAAAAGGAAAACACTGTGAATATAAGAAGCCAGAACGGGAAGCTAGAAGAATAAGCACAACATTTAGTACAGCTCCTAATGAAATAAAAGCCTGGGAGAAGAGATAATTTAACAACAGCAATAATAATAACAACACAAAAAACACTAATGGATATTCAATTTCAACATTAGAAGGGTGTTATAAAACAAAAAAAAATTCAAATTTAGTAGATAGAGGTGAGCATAGTCTCCATGGAAAACTCAAATAGTGGTCTAGAAGATCAAGTGTTGTATCTCCAAGGATTGTATAAAAATACAAAAAGATGGAAGTCATACAGAAAATAATAAGAAACTTGGAGGACACAGCAAGAGACTGATATAAGACAAACAGGAATAAGGACAAAAAGAAGGGGGGGGGATAGGAACATTTCATTTATTTGGAAAGAGCTGGACTTGAAGAATGAAAAGGTCTACTAAGTCCAGGTAAGGACTGTGAAAAAATACAAATGTAAGCATGTTTTGATAAAATTTTGTAATTTTAAGAATAACTTTTAAATCTTAAAAAGCTGCCAGATAGAAAGATTGGTTAGTAACAAAGGAAAAATGATATTGGCCTTGGGCTTCTTATCTATAATATAAAAAACTAGAAAACAGTAAATTAACATCCAACATTTCTCTCAGAATAAAGGTGTACAACCCCCAAATCCTGTACCCAGTCACACACTTTCACCAGTCAGGATAGAAGAATATTTGTTAAAATGCAAACATTCACATAACAAATCAAGTAATGTTCTAGAAAAGTGATTGTAAATAAAAAAGTGAATCAAAATAGA